GTTTGTAAATAAACAAATATACACTTCCCTCCAATAAAAAATAAAATACATAATTTACGTAACTGCTTCTATGTACATTGATACTCAATAAACAGTCCTCAAATGATATCTGTGGTTGCTAATTGTTTATTAAAACGATAGTATGTGCTCAGTTGTTAAAATACCATTTATGAACAAAATGTATGTCTATAAATTGTAAATTTGTGCTAAATTCTTATCATTGAGTGAAATATGTAACATTATAGTTGATGCACATATATGTACTTCTTTCCGTCCTTCCTTCCTTACACCTGTTACCCCCCACAGAAGAGCATGGACCACCACCTCCCAGCTTTCTTCATTCAACCCTACCCTAAAATACATATACATGTCCACCCCTCCCACATAAAAATCTATTTCAATCTAAACACAATACAAACATATTATGATAGAACAATTTATATAATGATAATAATGATGTAATGAATATGGTCAAAAGTTTATTCCTTAAAATTGAATACATTTCATAAAATTAAGTAACTAACCATCTAAATTACTCTAAGAAATCTATTTATATACAAATAATTCAATTATAATATAGTAATGAAACTATTCAAGTGTAAAGTCATCTATATTAAGGTCATATCTTGTTGAAACAATAAGGAAAAATCAATTAGATTTAATATAATGAAAGGAAAAATTATCATTACAGTAATATTAACAAAGAATATATCCATGTTAATAAAGCTTTCTTTAGATTCTACAGTTATTTTGATGAAGTTTTGGTCTCTGAGCTGGATAGTTTGATTGTGGAGCTTTCATTGTTCTTCTGAACGATCTATTCAGCTGAGAGAACAAAACTCTATCAAAATCATTCACCTGAGCTACAAATCTTGTCCACCATTCTACAGTTATATACGTAAACTAGGAATAGGAAACGTGACCAAATTTACTTTGCTTAAAATTATAGCAATGTTAATTTTGGTTTGTTTATAAAAGACTGATATCAGGAAAGATTGCTTACTCTTACCCTTTCTCTTTCTCCTGATGATCGACTGGATTATGAAGATGTCAACATCTGGGTGGAGGAAACATGGGATACAGTGCACAGCTAGGATATATCTACACGATCTAGACTTCACAGGTGATCTGGCTGTCCTATCGCACATACAAAAACAAATGCAGGAGAAAACGACCAGTGTAGAAGTGGCCCCAGCAGCAGTAGGTCTCAACGTACACAAAGGGAAAAGAAAGGTTCTCCGATACAACACAACATGCATCAACCAAATCACACAGATGTTTTTTAACAGTTGTATACACGAAATACTTCGAGTCCATTGGACAGACACTATTAGCAACAACCAATTGTGGGAGAGAACAAACTAGATCCTAGAGGAGGAAAAAATCAGAAAAAAGTGCTGGAAGTAGATAGGACACATATTGAGGAAAGTACCCAACTGTATTACAAGGCAAGCCCTCACATGGACTCTTGAAGGACAAAGGAACAGAGGAAGACCAAAGAACATATTACGTCGAAAAATGGAGACAGACATGAGAAGAATGAACAAAAATTGAACAGAACTTGAAAGGAAGGTTCAGGACAGAGTGGGTTGGAGAATGCTAGTCGGTGGCCTATGCTCTATTGGGAGTGACAGACGTAAGTAAGTAAGTTATAAGTTTGAACTTTATTACCGGTAATTTGAAGTCGATTAAAATGATAATGAAACTAGTTTTACATATTCAATTGATAGGGACTAATATATATACAGACATTTAAATATATTCCATGAATTTATAAACTTGGAATTTAATCATATTTGGTAGTTTTCTTAGGTATGGATCATAATTCATACTATGAATAATTTTGTATAACCAACAATTTATTGTTATATTCTTTTGGTTTATTAAAAATTCAGTGGTTGGATTTGTGATTCAAGTTAGACCACCATGGAAAATCTGGAAGAACTGGATAGCCATTTCGTCCTAGTATGAGATTCCTCAGTAATAAGGTTTTGTTAAGATATTAATAATACCTTTTCGAATTATACACAGATAATTTGAAATTGACTAACAAGTTCCAATCATAATATCATTCAATCTGTGATTTAATGATTATAAAATGAATACTTAAACAATGTCAACCATCATTGTTCACATGTCATAAACAATATAATTGAGTAAAAAACCTTGTTCTAATTCAAACAAGATGTTACATAAGTTATTGATTATTCGTTTGATGGATCTGATTCCATTGAACAGGAATAAGATCAGTTTGGCACAATCATATTTATTGTTCACTTATTTACTAAAAATAGTATCCTACCGTAAAATAGAAGAGTTCTATTAAGTACTAAACATTAAAATGATCATTTACTACAAATTGCTTAAAAAAACTAAATATTTAAAAGATAAGTTATGTAACAGTTCAACAGCTTATAAGAAATGTTATTAAAAAAAATGGTTTATGAATAATAAAGAATAAGAACAGAATGAATAAAGATTATAATAATAATTGCTGACATCCAGGGGTAACACCTTGTTAGTAATGCAGAGGTTCAGCATCGTGTGTTCGGGCACAGAGAGGATAATCCTATTGATATCACCATCTTAAAACGCCGACTTCGGTGGCTTGGACATGGTCTACGAATGTCGTCCCAGAGAATTCCACATCGTGCATTATTTGCCGACTCTGGGACTGGTTGGAAAAAGCGGAGAGGCAGTCAGTGTATGATATGGTGTCGTGGTATGAAAGAAAGCTGCAAAGGACTGGCTTCTGTTGGTCTTTCTCGACTCCTTGGTTGGGTTCCGGGAGATGGTGCAACACAGTGGCTAGAGACGTTATCAGATATGACTCAGGATAGAAACCAGTGGCGATCCTGCTGTAACCTTCTTTTACTTTCTTCATAAAAAGTGGTTGTAACTTCCTTAACTGAAAGAACTCTTTCTGGTTGTACCTTTCTGTTTCCCCCATTATTACTACTATTATTATTATTATACTACCTTACACTAATCTGTTCGTTGTTGTTCTTTTTTTATTTTCGAATTCTCATTGTTTTGTGTGGCGCATATATATTTGGTGCCCTCTTGTAACCAATATTTATGTTTTGGTGGAGTTTTGTTCTCTGAGCTGGATGATTCGGTCGTGGAGCTTTCATCGTTCTTCTGAACGACATCATCAGCACAAACTTCAGATAGAAGTAAAGTGTTCGAATTTCTCCATATGTGTTTCACAGCTTGTTCTGTGCACCTCGATGTTGATTGGTTCTTATCGATGGGTTAAATATACTATTTCTGTATACACTGTCTAGATTTCAATCGGTTAACCGGTATTATATCTTCTGTACATAATTCTTTTTTAAATTTTTAGTTCTTTCGAACCAATTGAATGAATGAAATGAATGATTTGATGAAAGAGATTCGTTAGAATGAACTAGGTGTTTTAGAAGGGTTGAACTATTAAACTAGTTATTGCAGTTCTTTAGATAGTCATAAAAAGGTAACGTTAGAAGATGTTTTCTTATACTGAAGTTCTTGTATGTAATTAATAATCTTTACAATAACTGTATAATTTACTCATATGCTTTTAGAAAGAATATACAATTTATCCGTATACTGAATAATACAAAACTCAATCAGAAAGAATACACCGGTTAACCTATATTTCTTTCTTTATCTAATAAAGTAATGAGCAAATGGATTCATTTACATGAAATATTATATAAGTTATGTAATATCCAAAGAATTGAAAAGACTAGAATTATCTGTAAATATTTGAAGTCGTTTTTTTGGATATTATGTAATAATTTCAATGGTTGAGATCATGAGACAATTAAAGCTAGACCAATATGGAAAACCTGGAAGCACTGAACAGACGTTTCGTCCTGCTGAGGATTACCATAATATTAAAGACCAAATATTCAATGTATGAACGTCATTTCATAATGATATGATTTAATTTTAGTTCATTAGGTTCTCATCAACTGCTTACAACTTATAATATTTTAATATGAAAATTATCATAAATATTGGCGTACTTAAAATTTATGAAAATGATTAGAGATAAATATGTCTATCACATAAATCACCAAACTGTATCCCGTGGCAAGCCCTAAGTTGGAATTGTGAAGGGAAACTGAAAAGAGAAAAGCCAAAGAACAGATTACGTTAGAAAATAAAAAGCAGATATGAAAAGGATGAATAACAACTATAAACACCTGGAAAGGATTGTCCAGGATAACGTTAGATAGAGAGTACATGTGGGCGGCCTATGCCTTCAACGAGGAGTAACAGGCGTAAGTAAGTAAGTAAAGCAAGTAAGATGTAGAAAAAATTCCAATAGAGTTAATTACATCATTTTCATTTTTATTTAATTCATAATTACTTCATTAACATTAATCTGTTTTCAGTTGCTTCATTACATAATCATTTCATATTGATTAACTTTATAGTTTCTAATCACTAGTTGAATGTTCTGGAATTTTCTCTCTAATACTATAAATCTCAAACAATATCAATGATAACTCTTAGCAACTAATGAGAACCTAATGAAATAAATATTTATCTATACTATTCTTTGTTCTAACTCTCTTTAACATAATTATTAAAAGGGTACTATATGTATATACATTGTATTGATAACATGAATTCACTTACCAGTAGGATAATGTTTATTATTAATTTCATTATTTTGATTCATTCTAGGTAATCTACCTGGTGATCGAAATGTATGATTGAAATTCTCTCCAACATGATCAAAAAAATTTCTTATATTTGCTAAAATTGACATAATTTACTAATGAGATAATTCTATTGTATTGTATTGTATATTTTATATGACAATAATGAAATACTTTAAAAGTTGTATGAATGAAGGTTATGAAAAGTAAACAATTAGTAACTACTTTCAATCATTTATATGTTTACTAATATGAAAGTGGTTTGTTTAGCTTTCTTCTTCTCTCCCCTTATTTCTATAATTTGAAGGAGTAATAATTTCTTGAATAGTTATTGGTTAGTTTGTTATGTCTGTAAATTGATGGATCAGTTGTAGATTTTTACATATATTTTCTTTTTCTTTTTAACTAAGTCTATTCCATGTGTAAATGTTATAGGTTATAGAACTAACACCATTATTTTATATCTCAATTGAATATTGTAATTGGTTAAAGGGGGGGGAGAATTAAAAATTCACTGTTTAACATTGACTAAAACAAAACGTTTTGGGTGATATGTAAGAGTAGTAGTAGTAGTAGTAGTAGTAGTAGTAGTAGTAGTAGTAGTAGTAGTAGTAGTAGTAGTAGTAGTAGTAGTAGTAGTAGTAGTAGTAGTAGTAGTAGTAGTAGTAGTAGTAGTAGTAGTAGTAGTAGTAGTAGTAGTAGTAGTAGTAGTAGTAGTAGTAGTAGTAGTAGTAGTAGTAGTAGTAGTAGTAGTAGTAGTAGTAGTAGTAGTAGTAGTAGTAGTAGTAGTAGTAGTAGTAGTAGTAGTAGTAGTAGTAGTAGTAGTAGTAGTAGTAGTAGTAGTAGTAGTAGTAGTAGTAGTAGTAGTAGTAGTAGTAGTAGTAGTAGTAGTAGTAGTAGTAGTAGTAGTAGTAGTAGTAGTAGTAGTAGTAGTAGTAGTAGTAGTAGTAGTAGTAGTAGTAGTAGTAGTAGTAGTAGTAGTAGTAGTAGTAGTAGTAGTAGTAGTAGTAGTAGTAGTAGTAGTAGTAGTAGTAGTAGTAGTAGTAGTAGTAGTAGTAGTAGTAGTAGTAGTAGTAGTAGTAGTAGTAGTAGTAGTAGTAGTAGTAGTAGTAGTAGTAGTAGTAGTAGTAGTAGTAGTAGTAGTAGTAGTAGTAGTAGTAGTAGTAGTAGTAGTAGTAGTAGTAGTAGTAGTAGTAGTAGTAGTAGTAGTAGTAGTAGTAGTAGTAGTAGTAGTAGTAGTAGTAGTAGTAGTAGTAGTAGTAGTAGTAGTAGTAGTAGTAGTAGTAGTAGTAGTAGTAGTAGTAGTAGTAGTAGTAGTAAAATATAGATTGTTATATTACACAACAGTCACCTTTCCGATGTAGTTGAACTTCATCAATCACAGCTCTCTAGAACCTCAAAACTACTTCTGAATGTTATTCACTATTGAATACTAGTAGATAATATCATTTTATCATCTTTTCATGTTACCCATATTAAAAACAAATGATCAAACACCTGTAACCAACAGACCTATGGATTCAAAAAGGCTGCGAGTGACTCGGTTAGAATAGAATAAATGAATTATTCCATAGTATAAATTTACTGAGATGGAGAAATATGAGCTATTAAGTATTAAATTAATGAATAAATGGTAAAATACTTACTATAGGACATGAATAGATAAATTATCTTGACGGTATACTAATGAGTTCTATTTTTGAGGCTTAATAGTGTACACTGTTTCTCTAATTAGTATTAACTTATAATGCTGTCACCGTCAGAAAATGTATTTTTCTTTATAGAATTAAGGAATTGACAATCAAAATATTTAGAAATTTACTTTACCGTATTATGATCGAGGTAGTTGTTTTGATTTCATGTAAAACTTTACCCCTAAATTTCAATTGTCATGAATGATAACATTTAGTGAATTGACTTTTATATAAACTATACATTAACTTATACTGTAGTGTGTGCTACTGATGTCGATAGATATAAGTAGTATACGTTATCAGTCGAAAGTGTAATTCCTGGTAGAAGAAAACAGGACGAGAACAATGAATGATTTCTGTGAAAATGAGGGAACAGTGAAGTATGAAACGATTAATTGAGATTTTACAAATGAAGTATTTACTGTATGGTTCTCAAATTTTACTAAGAGTTTCGGTAATTTTGTGTTCAGATACATTCGATTGTCCTCACTTGTGTTCTCGTTCACTACAATACTATGCTGTCTTTCATAATTATGTTTTTAATCTGAACTAAATAGATGTGTCTTACTTACTTATTTACGCCTGTTACTCCTCGTGAAGGAGCATAGGCCGCTCACCAGCATTCTCTATCCAACCCTGTCTTGGGCAATCCTTTCCATCTCCTTCCAGTTCCTATTCATCCTTTTCATATCAGCTGTGTCTATCAATATGTAATTAATTTTGACTAAACGTAATGGTAGATAGTAACTCACTGATGACAATGGTGAATAGTGGCGCGATTTCGTGGGTTGGTTGTAGTTAAACATTAACATCGTTGGATGCCGGCTCAGTGGTCCAGTAGGTTAAGCGTTCACGTGCGAGACCGAAGGCCCTAGGTTCGAATCACGCGAACGGGATCGTGGATGAGCACTGCCTAGGAGTCCCACACTAGGACGAAACGTCCTTTCAGTGCTTCCAGGTTTCCAACGGTGGTCTAATATCAATCGGTTCATGTTCTCAATCAAAAACTTAATAATCTCTACAACCCCTATACTAGTAAGTGTATACAACAATTCCCTATTGATAAACTAGAAGGTATAGTAAAGTATTATAACTAATAAGCTATAAATAGGATAAAACAAACTAACAGTTTGAATTTGAATTGTTACCTTTTATCTTTAAAATAACAAATTATCAGAATTTTCTATTTATCCTTGTTTTACAGGATCATAATATGCCTTAGTGTTTATTTGAACATTATCACTAATACCATGGTAACTAATAATAAACATGTACAACTTATCATCTGTTTGTAATAATTATAAAAATACCAAAAAAATTTTTTTTTAAATGTAGATAATGTGAATATTCTCAATCAGAAAAAGTAAATCGTTCGATTATTGATTCACGTCCTCCTTTTTTTTTCTCCATGTTTTTTTGTTACTTTTTATTACATAAAAATAAAATTTGATTCTCATTTTATGATCGAGAAACAAACAAACGAACAAACATAGAAACCATGGAAACAAAATTTTTCTGTACAAGATTTTCATGATTTCAACTATTGAAATTTCCACACAAAAAAATCCCCCACAAAACTCCTTCTAAGAATTTTTTTATTGCCGGAAAATTATGAACCGATTTAAGTTAGATCATTATTGAAAAACTAAGAAAAAAAAACTAGATAGTTATTTCATTGTAGTGTAATGGTTTTACTTCGTTCCTTTGATCACGTCGATAACCTGCTATAATATAAATCGCAACGATGACTTAAAATCAGAAGACAATAGGATTTGGCAACTATAGTTTGTTAGAAGATAGCGTAGATCACAAAGTTATAAGCACTTAGTTACTTACTTACTTACTTACGCCTGTTACTCTTAATGGAACATAGGCCGTCGACCAGCATTCTCCAACCCACTCTGTCCTCGGCCTTCTTTTCTAATTCTATCCAATTCTTGTTCATTTTTCTCATGTCTATTTCTATTTCCCCGCGTAATGTGTTCTTTGGTCTTCCTCTTCTCTTTTGGTCCTCAAGATTCCATGTGAGGGCTTGTCTTGTGACATAGTTGGGTACTTTCCTCAATATGTGTCCTATCCACTTACAGTGCTTCTTCCTGATTTCTCCCTCCACTGGAATCTGGTTTGTTCTCTCCTACAATAGGTTGTTGCTAATAGTGTCTGTTTAACGGATCCGAAGTATTTTGCGTTGACAACTGTTAATAAACACTTGTATCTTCTGGATGATGGCTTTCGTAGTTCTTCAAGTTTCCGCCACATACAGTAGAACTGTTTTGATATTTGTATTGAAAATTCTGAACTTAGTGTTGGTTGATCGACAGTTGTTTAGAGCTCCTGATGTTCTACAGTTGTAAATATGCTACTCTTGCTTTACCGATCCGTGCTTTCACATCTGCATCATATCTACCCTGTTCATCAATGATGCTGCACAAATATGTAAGGATTTCTACATCTTCCACATCTTCGCCGTCAATTGTGACTGAATTGGTGCATTCTGTGTTGTATCGGAGAATCTTTCTTTTCCCTTTGTGTATATTGAGGTCTACTGCTGCTGAGGCTAGTGCTACACTGGTCGTTATAAGCTCATTGAGTATATTTGCAGCGGAGAAATGAATAAGTATATATATGTGCAATTATATAGGAAAATTTAAAGTCAAATTGCATAAGAACGCAGCAAGTCAAAGAAAGGACTAATAATCATATTTGTGTACATATATACATGAAGAGCAGAATAAGTTATCTAATGATATTTAAGTGATCAACATTTTAGCTAGAATCTGTCATGTACTCTAAGTGATCATAACGGTACAAATGAATATACGAATTGTTACTATTCAAATAACATTGTCTGTTAAGTGTGGCTTAACCAAAATTAACCATAATCGAAATTGGTTGTAGAATAGTTGCTATAGTAGAACAGAATTCTTTTGCTGTGCATATCCTTAACTTTAATACAAGGAATCAAACACAAAACCTTCGTTGTTGTATATAAACAACTAACTCCTAAATCATTTAGCTGGTATTAAATGTCTAATTTTAGCGACATTCTACTTTTCACAACAAAAGCTTACACAAACTAAATGACATGTATATACACAAGGTATTCAATGCCTCCAAATGCCCTGGTACGCCAAGGGTGGTGAAAGTCAACTATATCTCTCGAAATGTTCTTATATAACCACGCATATACAGCCACTGTCAGGGAAGTCCTACTCAATGCCTCCTCGCGGCTATGGTGTTGATTACAAAATTTAGAGAACAAAAAGTGAATGTCCAGCACTTTAACCGGGTTGATGGACATGCAGGGTCCATTTGGGAGAGTTGGAAACCCCTGATTCCAAGTCAATGATGCACATGGACTACAGGATCCTGAAGGAACAAATGACTTATGAACCAATCGTTGGTCACCGGCTTCCATGGGACTGCATCTCCTTACGATGCTCCACCGCCTTGTAGGTTCAGACCTTCAGATCAAAGGCTCCAGGTGTGGCAACCTAAGAAAACCACCTGCTTTGGTTTGGGCACCCGGGCGGTATCACAGCCTTCACACATATCGAATGAGAGTTGTGTGGCGCATATGTATTCGGTGCCTCTTTGTACAAATATTTATGTGTTTAAATAAGAATAAAAACAATTCTTGTTCAATACTTACTCAAGCCATAGTTACGACTTATGTGATCTAGTTACAAATAATTCCAATAAAAGTTTCCAATGAATACTTTCATTAGTGTTGGTACTCTATTACAAGTTAACATAATTCAGATAGAAGGACTATTTATTATTAACTTAGTGATCAAAACAATAAGCCTATGCCATAAGACTTGACAGTCTTAGAACTGGCAACTATCATATCATATTCGAATACTGTCAATACTAGTATGAAACGAAATGAGAAAATGCTTTTCAGTTATGATTGTTAAATAATAATCTAAATGATTCCTTGATTTTAAGTCATATGAACCTACAATTCACTTTGAATAGTTCATATTAACTTGAATAGAGTAAGAATGAAGAATTAAACAGAATAACATGAATTCATTTGATTTCATTAGATTCTCATCATCTACTTATAGCCTATCATATTTAAAATCAAAATTACATAAAACAGTAAAATAAAAGTGGATATGTATCATCATGATGGACTAGTGAAAGTGAAGATAATAATAAGTGATGTAAGTAAATATTATATATGAGAGATTCTGGATCATCAGATTTAGTAATAAATGATGAATTGACTATTTAATGAAGTAATTTACTATAAAACTCCGCCTGGAGCCCCTCCAGGGTCTACTGCCAGTCTCAAGGCCGGGTAAAGGAGGAGGGTTGGCTCGCTAAAAAAAAACGCTAACCAGAAAAAATAATTCAAACCACTTAAACTCTGCCCTGGAATTCAGAAGGTCTTGAGTTAGAAGAGTTATGACGATACATGGTGAAAACCGAGTTCCTTCTGAAGCCACAAAGCTGATGCCTCTTCTGACAACCAGAGCAACCATTTATTTAGGTACATGAAATGATCGTACAATGTGGGAGATTGGGAGAGTCTTCCAAATTGCTGCAGAATTGACTATAAATTAATAACAATTAAGGACTACATGATTTAAGATGAACGGCATTCGATTGTCGATTGATGGTT